ATTAAAGTATCTTACAAAGCTATAGTATACTGTGAGGAAGCGTATGTATATTTTTTGAATTACTAGATGCCAGGTGCAATGTGTTTGACATTTATCATCCATATCATTGACTCTTCACAATAATCATACTTTAACAGTGAGGAAACTGAGCACAATATGGTAGATTGTGTCATTTGTTTATAATTCTTCATTTTCTTTAAGTCCTTAACCTGTGAAGACAACATACTTTCCTTTCCTATTCACTTAGGGCTTGGCCATGTGGAATAACAGAATGTGAATAGAAAAGAGAATGTGCTGAGTTAAGATTTTTAAAATGTGGCCAAGTTTTCTTGAACTCCTGCCACTTACCATGAGAAGAATATGTTCTAGGGAGCTACTGTTACTTCAGTCTGAAAAGAGGTGCATGTGAAACAGTCATAATACCTGACCAGGAGTCTGGAGTAAAGTCCATTTGTGTCCAGCAGACACTGCAGTGTCACAGTTGACCCAGATACCCATGAAAGAGGAATAAATGTTTGGTGTTGTGAGACACTGAGATGAAGGGGAGTGGTTGTTACACAGCACTATTGCAGAAAAAACCTGAACAATATTCTCAGAATCTCACTAATACAGATCACATTAATACAGATCAGTGAAATGGAAGATAAAATCTGGACCTAGATTACATTATATCCAAGAACTTAGTGGAGAAAATACACATTGCTCAAAAATGGTATGGGGACATAACTGCCTGGAAAAAAAATATGGTTAGATTTCTACTTACATCTTAAAAAACAAAGTCTAGGTAGGTTAAAATATAAGTGCAAAATATGAAAACATAAATATAGTTAGAATAAAACATAGAAGAAATTTTTCTTACTAATGTTGTCATAGAGGATTTCTTTCTAATAATGATACCAAAGACACTGAATTCAGTGATAACTTGTAAATTTGATTACATAAAAACTTTATAAGACAAAAATGACACAAATAAGGTAAAAGGACTAAAGACACACTGAAAGAAATATATATCACAAAAAAGTTCATACTTTCAATCTTTAAAGAGCCACTTACAAGTCAAAAACAAGATATATACTCCAGAAGAAAAAGAGGAATAAAATAGAATAGTTAATTCACAAATATGGAAATAACAACAGACCATGAACATATGAAAACATGATAAACCTCATTACTAATCAAATTATGGAAATTAAAGGAACAATGAAATACCATTTCCCACCTGTCAGATAATAAAAGATTTTAAAAATAATATTAACACTTAGTATTGGGAAGGCTTGAGAGAAATATTACTATGACTTTTTGGTGAAATGTTAGGCATTATGTATCAAAAGTCTTAAAATTATGCAGACTCATAGATCTACCATTTCAATTTCTTAAGGAAGTAATGTATCAAATATAAAAAGATATTTTAGAACATTCATTGCAAAATATTGAAAACTAAATGTTGATCAATGGAGTATTGATCAAATAAATTATGGAACATTGTTAAATAAAATAAACACTTCTATGGTACCCACTAAGATTTATGAAGGTCTGCACTTAAGAACATTAAAAGACAGCAGTGTTTATACATTAACTGAAAACAGGAGGCTATAAAATAGTATGTATAGTGTGGTCTCATTTATAAATATATTAAATATACATGATTAGAATTAATTCTTGAAGAATAGGCAAAATACTAACAGTAGCTTTTTGTCTGAATGATAGCATTATGGTCGATCTTCAAAAAAGAGAATACTTTATTCCTATAATATTTGAATGCTTTTTACAATGAGAATGTTATATATTTATAGTCAGGAATAATAGCAGTAAAATACTTTCCTTTTGAAAAGAAAAAATATGAAAAATAGCATAGGTATCTTCTACTACAAATATGGAAAAAAGTCTACAGGACTCAAAATAGGTCATATTTATTGTTTCTTCCTTATCTAGGTTCTCATAAATTATTCATAGAAATCCTATCTATACTAATAATTATTTTGTTCATTATTCTTTTGCATTTCTTTTCAGAAAATGACAGGTAATATATTCTGCAGTCATTTATATTTTAGAGAATTCTTCATAATTGCTATTAAAAATCATTAAATAAAAACAATTATATTGAGTAAAACTAGAATATTTCTACGTAAACCAATAACTTTAACCTGAACTTGAACTGACAAATTACTTTAGGATTATTTTTAAAGTCAAGAAAATTTAAAAATCAACCATTTCTTTCAATAATTTAAAGAAAAACAGATAATAGTCTTCAATGAGACAAATACACAAATAACAATTATTCAACATACATATGTATGAAATATATCTTTATATTTCTGTATATCAATCTATAGATATAGATATATAATTTACATATACTTATATAAAATCTAGGGATAAACTAGTAAACTATAGGGCTTGTGTAGTACTCACCTGAAGAAAATTACAAAACTTTTACTGAGGAACGTAAAACTTTTATAAAAGTGCTCTTATATGGAAAATGATAATATTATAAGGATATCCCACTTTGTTCGTAAATTAAATGTAATTCTGTTTAGAAGTTAAGGTAAAATTTTAAATCCAAACTACCTAAAAAGGACTACATTATAGTAAAAAGCAGAAGTTCCTCTTTCCCACAGTGTCCATTCCCAATCCCCAAAGGTAATCACTGTTAACAATTTTTTTGTCTATTCTTCCAGAAATTCCGTAGGTATCTACAAGGTGTGTACTCACACACACATAACCACACACATACTTCTATGCTCTTTCTGACTTTTTTTTTAATTCTAGGAGGGATAATATTATACTTACTGTTCTATAACTTGCTTTCACTTAATATATACTGGGCATTTCTCCATAGCAAAACATAAGTTCTCAAGTGATTTTTTTTTAACTTAATAAAGTAAATCTGAGGGATATAAAGAATAAATAGGCAAGAACAACAAAGAAAACTTTCAGAAAAAAAAAAACTACTTAAGAGGGACCTGCAATACTAGATGTAAAAATGTATACCTAAAATATTGTGATAAAAGTAGAAGAGTAATCAGTGGAACAGAAATTAATCTAAGGAGTGGGCCCTGGAATATAAAAGCTTTCGGTTTGATTCAAAAATTCTTTTTAAATCAGTAGGAAAGAAGTATACTATTCAACAAATATCCAGAGACAACTGCTTAACAATTGGAAAAAATGATCAAATCTTCACTTCACGTGATAAACTACAATAAATTGCAGATTAAAGCATTAAAAGCATGAAATAAAAACAAAAAACAAAAAGGAAACAAGTTATCAAATGTGTAGGAGAAAATATAAGTGAATAATCTTTGTGAAGAATATTTTCTAAATGTATAAGCAAGGACAGAAATTTTCATTTAAAATGCTTGAGAAATTGATAATTTAAAAATTGTCAATAACAAAATATGGTATTAAGTTGGAAAAATACTTGTAAAATGTATGACATATGGTCAGTATCCTTATTATATGAAGAACTATTGTAATTAATTTATAAATACAAACATCCCAATAGAAAATAAAAGGATGATGTATAGGAAAAAGCAAGCCATAATGAAATAATATAAATGGCTAATAAACATGTGAAACATTAAATTTTTCAAGTGGCCAAAGTAACTGAAACTAAAAGAACACTTTTTTTTTTTCAAACATCAAATTAGAGAAGGTTAAAAACCTAACATTCAGTGCTGGTGAAGGTATGGATAACTAGACACTCTTATTACACACTTCCATTTTGGAAGACACTTTGGCTTTAAGTATCAGAACTTGTTAAAAAAAAAAAACAAAAACTTTTTGACCCTGACATTCTTCTTTCAGAAATTTATCTGGAGGAAATAATTATAGGTGTATTCAAATATTGTCTACAGAGATGTTCATCATAGCATTGTTTATAATGTGGGAAAATTAGAAACCACCAAATACACCTTGTTAGAGAAATTGTTAGATAAACTATGGTGCAGTATATAGGCATTCAAAATAATTCTGTTGACAAGTATTTAATGACATGGGGAAATATCTGTGATACATTTTAAGTGAAAAATGTAGTTCACAAATGAGTGATGTCATGTATTCTAATTAATTTAACATATTAGTGCATAGGAAAATATGCTATAAGGATATACTCTAAAAAATTCAGAGTGGTTCTCTCTAACTGGCTAGGTTATGGGTGATTTTATTTCATTATATTATTTCTATAATTTCCACAATAAATACTTACTAGTCTTATAATCAGAAATAATGTTACAAAAATAAAATGCTTTAAGCAAATATTTAAGATGTGGACATTGAAACATATGGTTTTCCTCAAGTGATGGGTGGCTTTGGAATGTTTGGTGTGGATTAGGAATGATCTGAGGCCAGCTCGTAGGCATTTCATTGAAAAAAAAAATGAAATAAATCATCATAATAAAATTATATATTGATTTAAAAAAAAGCAGAGTGAAAATATATTTTCATTTTTAAAAGTGAAACAAATTAATATAATTAAAAGAATTCAGTTAGCATTATACGCCTCTAAGTAAAGAGTAAATAAATGGCCCTCCCTCAAATTATATTGTGTAATTGAGCTTCATTTTTTTAATAATGGGAACACAAATAAGTGTAACTTTATAATTTAATACTCAGTAACAGATCAGTTTGTAAATTCAAATTTTCTAAATATTTTTCTACATACTATCCCTAAGGAACAAGTCATACCATAAAATATGGCAAACAACGTGTAGAAAACGTCTTCATTTGTTCTTTCTAGAAAATGCTGGCAATGATTTTGTGACAAGCATACATAGATATATTGAAAATAAATTTAATGTAAACTTAACGAAATATTGAAATTGTGAAGTGCAAAGCAGCTACTTAAAATGACCCATTCTGACTCATATATCCGTCTTTCATTTTCTATTTATATTAATAAAGCAAACTTTGCAAAACCCTCAAATGGTCAATTAAAATAAAATATCAAAAGACTCCCAAATAGCAAATATTGTGCATGATCTTCTTTTAGGTTCCAATTTTAGGTATGACTAATTTGACTCAGTATGATAAGCAACAACCCGAATGACAGGTAACTAGGAGGGGTAAATTCCAAACACAGTCTGAATTAGAAGTGCAACTCATTTTCCATAACCCAGACGCTTTTTTAAGCCATTAATGCATTCTCCATCAGAAACCTGGTGCTGTTCCCAAAGGAGAAAACACTGCCCTCCAGTGGTCTTCACTGGAGAAATGGAAATAGTTTCAGGTACCATGACTGCAGCATTCGTGTAAAACATCGTGAATATTTATCTAGTTTCATTTCCAGCTATATTGCTTAAGCTGAAACTTATGTCTTTAACAGAGCATAAGGACAAAACCTGCAAAGTAAATTCAAATATATAGGTAGTTACTCTAGTTAAATAGCAATATTAACTACGAGGAATGATTATGGCATCTGACCACCAAAGCTGACCGTTTATTTGACTATCACAATCGGATTGTGTTAGCCACCTAGAACTTCTCACTTCTCAGATAAGGAAGAAGAGATTTCATCTCTGTGTTTCCCTTGTTGGCCAATTTTTTAGCTAAAAGACATTTAAAATTGTACAGCAGGCAGAACCCCAGGGGACTGAACAGTGTTCCAACATCCTTAAAAGCTTCCCATCACTTGAAAAACCAAATTCTTCCTCCTGTTTCTTAAACTAACCAAAGTAGGCAAAAGCAATTTTAAAAAGTCTTTGTGTCTAGCATTGGAACTTTCTCATATTTCACACCATTATATAAATGTCACTCTAACCTATATGTATCACAAATGCTACGCTAAATTAGGGCCAAATTTGCAACCTAGTTTAACTGGGTTTCCTCTTTTTGCAAATGCAGTTTTTGTGTCTGCATTTAGCAATGCATACAAAACTGTCCGTGAAGCTAACTGCTTCGAATTGCTAAATTTGAGGATGGATGTGTAGATCGCCTGAGTCTTTATGCATGTGCCAAAGCAATCCTGCTTCTAGTCATATAAAGACTTTCCAATCAAATGGACCTTGACTACACTGCTAAATTCTTGGACCACTTCATTGACTCTCTTTGATTTAGTAAAGGAAAAGTGGAATTTTAAGAGGGGAGAGATGGTTCTCTAATCTCCTCCATGACTACATCCTTCAGACATCAGAATGGAAGTGCCTCACATGATAAGAGTGCAGACCTCAGAGATCCAAGGCCATAGCGGCTTGTCCATTACTAGCTATGTGACTTAAACTTAGCCTCATTTTCCTCATCAGTAAAATGATAATGCTGATCTCATAAGGTGGCTAGTATGATTGAATGAGGGACTGTGTATCTTGCATAGAGAAAGGACTTAACCAATAAATTAGTATTATTCTTTCGCCATCACTTCTTAGACTAAATCTGATGGCCAAGTAGATTTCCTAGAGGCATGATTTTCTAAAAATATGACTCTTTTATCATGTTAAGTAAAGACTATATGGAATCCTCCAGATAAATTCTTCAAAACAAATACCCTGTGCTGCGATAAAATATTTTAACATCATATTGTGCCAATAGAGCACCTTTAAATATGAATCAAGTTTTTCTTCTTTTCGCTCCCACGGAAGGTGGTATCTATTATATATTCACCTGGATTCACAAAGTGCTTTATAATTTAAAAAAGGCAAAAATAGAACTTATAATTATTATGAAAGTGGTATAGGGATTAGACATACTTGGGTATATTTTAGTGAATTATAAAGTTTCTGGGCTTGAGAATATAGAGGTCCACAACCACACCTGTTCTGGTTATTTAATTCAACTTAGAAGGTGCACACTTCAGAAAGAAATATTGCTCTCTTTAGGAGATTAATGCACTTTCCTTTAAGATGAAGAAAAACCTACAAACACATTTTAATGAGACACATGATTTCTCCTTGTCACTAGCTGCTGTAAAGGGTTTTTACTGAGCCACGGTCCCACATCTCATCTCCTCCCACTGTGCACACCTGCAGCACTAGAAAACATCATTCCTCTCTGGAGAAGTTAATTGAGTGTTCTCCTCACTGTCCATGACATCTCACCAATCATCTCATGATACTTTGTGTCACACAACACAGACTCTTCGATTAATCAAAATAGTTCCTATAATGCAAACTGTTTATGATTTAAAACAAGACCATTTGGATATGTCAAATTGAGAATACAACAATGATTTGACAAATATTTTATATCTATCCAATGCTTAGAAAATTTTGAGATGAAGTTCCATTAAGGATGAAGCAAAGTACAGCTAGAGATTGTAACAATGTATATGTGTGACATCGAAGCCTGGATGGATGCTTGATCTATGGATCAATAAATGCAAATAAAATAAACTTTGGTTAAAATAGTTATAGCTAATCTAAATTAATCCCAAAATTTGACAATGGAACATATGAAATTGTGACAAACATTCTGAATTTTTAAAAATGCATCATATTTGTAACAGTCCAAAATAATCTAAAGTCAGAACACTTTTTCTGGGTATAATTATATTATAATTCTCTACCTTGACAGATGACAATTTTAGAAAACTCTAAGTACAATTTCTAGTATATGCACTAAAATAAAATGTAACAGATAGACAACTCATCATAGTATAAGTAACACATTCAAATTTAGTAATTTATTTTCCAGGTGGAAACCAGGCTTCTTGGAAGACTTCAAACTATGCCAAATGGTCTGATTTTACCATAGAGGTAGGCACTAAAGGACTAAATTTACTTCTGTGTAATTTTTGTTAACTACATTTTGCATGCAAATGTCTATACAACCATGTTAATGAAGTTATAGAGGAGGAAAGAAAGTTGGCATTCCCATTGTTCTGTTTTATTCAAAAGCAACTTTTCAATTGACTTACTATATATCATTTTAAACCAGTTTTTATTTAGTCATAAGAAAACAGAAGAGCCTAACAATTCATTCAAATTGGATCAGAAGTCAAGAAAAATAATACTTTTCTTATGAATAAAATTTAGGCTTGACAGTTTTTCTCCTATACCTTAAAATCTTCAGAACATAGGATACTTTTATTGGAATCAGATCAAAATGTTCTGTTAATGACAAATGTTTAGAAAAGTGCATAACCGACCCAGAGCTGGTTATTCAGAGGAAAGGAGTTTGTGTGTGTGTGTGTGTGTGTGTGTGTGCGCGCGTGCGCTTCTTACTAAGGGCTAAAAATGTTCCATACCCCAAATGGGATTGGTGTTTAATTGACAGTTATCCAAAACCTTTTTTCCAAGAAATACAAACATATTTAAATTCTACATGAGTGAAGTTCTTATTAAAAAATTAGTATTCAAACTTCAGAGCCCATATTGGCAAGGAAAATGTACAGTATCCTTTCAACTGGAATGTTAATAATCCAAAACTTGTCTCAGGTTATAAAAGAAGTGTTCCTAGGGTGTAAGAAAAAGAATGTTTTTAAACTAAAGGCACACTTGATTCGCAATAAAACTGGAAGCACTAATGCTAGAAGCGTAGGTGATAAAAGGAGAAAAAGGGAGAAATAATGGTTGCGATTCTGCATTTATGCTACAGCCAGGACTGATACAATCTCATCCCAAAACATCCAGAAAAATAAAGCAAAATAAAACCTACTTCACCCTTACACATTGAAGGGAATCAGGATCCTGACTCAAATTTCAAACTCCTGGAACTTGGAAAGACCTGCAAAACCCCAAACACCGATGTTTCTGAAACCTGCCACATCCCAGAAATAGACAGACCATGGAAATATGATTATTAAGAATTCACAGATTATCTGATACATTTGCTAACCACCCCACCCCTGTTCTGGAGAGAGGGGAAGACTCCAATCAGTGGGCAAAGCCTGCTGTGAAAAATGCCAGGCCTTTCTTGGGGTTTAGGTTGTCAACCTAATCCCAACCACAACTACTGTATGACTGTATCAGGGGAAACAGTGCACTTGTGTGTGAGAACTGGGGTGGGGTGGGGACCGAGATGTTAAGAAATTTAACAAATTCATGATTTTTTTTCCCTTTAAACATTTGAGAGTGTTGTGTTTACACATGCTGGGCAACATAAACCATAAATCCTGCTGGATTTCTGCAAACTGCTGCGTGAAGCATACAAACGGCATTCCTGTCAATGGGAAGAAGAGACAGACAGAAATCAAGACAGAGACAGGCAGCACCCCCCGGACGTGAAGCTTGTTCCTACTGCAAGCTGTAGTGCAAGGAGATGATGACATCCAGAACAAAATGTCTTTTTCACGAGGATACTAAAGCTCTTGCTTTGTGATCTCTGTGCAGAGAAAGAATGATCAGTGGAAAGGGCTTAATTTCCACCCTTTTCTGGAATCAAAATCTAAGCTTTTTTTTTAAGTTATTTTTAAACTTCTTCCTTTAGAGTCCATTGTTGTGTTCCATAAAACAGACAAAACTCAGCAAGACAACAAAGACGATCTGCAGGAGAGAAGGTAATAAAGAGCAAGCCCTCTCCAGAGGGTAATTAATCCTTAGTCATTCATCCTAGAAGTCCCAGTTACAGTTAAGGTTAATGTTCAGGTAGCTTCTTTCTATTTTCTTAAAAAATTTTTTTAAACTTTTTTTTTTTGCAGAATGTTATACTATTAATTGCCAATTTGCATATGTGTGCAGCTGCTGTTTTGGCTCTGAACTCAATCCGATAAGCTTGCTGGAGGTATCGCAGAGCACTTGGCAGCTTTCCTATTTGAAAAGAAAGCCTCTCCCCACTACAGAACAGCTGATCGTCTATCAGCGATAGACCCTGATGGCGTGAATTACAATTACACTACTTTTCACACTAAATCTGGGTGATAGCTACTTGGAAAGAAGTTTCATCATTTTTTACCACAAACTGGAAAAAGAATTACATGGTCATGCTGTGCTTTTAAAGGCAGTTTGGTTCACTTTTGTCTATTTAACACCTAATTCCAAGAAGTCCATAGGCATCCAGAGATCTGAATGGCGCGTAATGAATTCACTGTTTAGATTGAAGATTTTAAAAATCTACCTCAAATTACATTTATTAACAAGGCGACCGGGAAGTGTTAAAGTTGTTAGACGCTTCATTTATTAAATAATTTGTGGGTATTTTCAGTTGTCATATCTGGAGTCATGGGGTTTGCTTATTTTTTTAAATTAGCAATCCAAAACAATGCTGCTGCAATTTAACAATTCATCACATAATCTTGGACTCTTCAGCTCAGCTGTTAATGTTAGATAATTCAGATTGTTATTTTGATCTGTTTATAAGTGATTTCAGTTGCATTGTGCTGTGAGGAGAAGAGCAGCAGCTGAGGCAGGTCCTTCTCATCCTCCTCGCCTGGCCCAGGGTGGCGGAGGGGGCGCCCAAAAACTCGTCTGGGGAGTTGAGCGTCTCGCAGGAGGAAACAAGGGATGGGGGCAGGGGACACTAAAATAACTTCATGTATTACCATTCCTTAGTTAACTTCTTTATGAATTTACGTTCCCTGCCTGCTTGGAAAACTGGGGGAAGGCCTCTTTGCCGAAGGGCATCTTATTAGAATCCTACATCTCTCTCATTTCCTGGGATGTTAGAAAGTACCTTCCTTCCACTTCTTGCGAGAACCGCCCCATTATCAGAAAACGTAAAAAGCACCCAAACATCACTCTTTTTCTCTCTCTCACCTCAAATCTCTTCCCCCTCCCATCCTGACATTTGAATCCATTTGTTTAAAACAAACAAGCAAAACAAGCCAAAAAAAAGTTAAACCCACCTCAAGCAGCAGAAGTGGAACACATCCTGACGTAGTTAACCTAAGAGAAAAATAGATTTTGTTTTCCGTTTTTAGTCGCTAGCTTTATTAGATTTCTCACTCTCACAGATTATCCGAAGACTACCCATTGATTGATCGCCCGGAGAGCTGCATTTGGTGTAAAGAAAAAAATCACAGCTTTATTGGCTCCCAGGAGACAAAACAAACAGAACAAGATATTCATATTAATGCAAACAATGCAACAAATGAGGGGAAGGCTCGCCCGGCGGAAGCGAGGCGCGGAGCGGTCGGCCGGCGGGGAAGGGCCTGGGCGCCTCCC